AGGGGGGACGGGGGGCGGTGGGAGGGATCCATCCAAACATGCAAAACGACAGCGCATGCACGCCTCTGTGCCTCCACAAGGGACGTGTGAAGCCAGGTGGAGAAAGCGACACGTTCGAGATCAATTTGATGGGGAGGGAGGCGCGAGATCGTACAGGTCCTCGGGCACTGACGCCAAGACGGAGCCTCCGTCCTGGTGCCGACTTACGGATGGAGATAATCTCTTCATGGGCCACCAGGTCTTGTAGGGACGTGGGCCGGTATTTTTCGACCCAGGGCATGCTATTGAAGGCTTGATCGGGCGCGGCTGCAGGTTGGACTTGACGAACGTCTGGTGCGGCGTCTATTTTCTCTGTCTCGGTGCTGTATTGATGTGGATGGGAAAGGAGGAGAGCGTGGGCAGATGACGGGGATTTTACTGACAATGGTACGCGCATGCTCGGTCTAAGAAGAGTTGAGTCTCAACCCGAACACTGAAAGAAACAAAAAATAAAGCACTTTTGTGGCCCAAAGACTGCTATGTTGAGGGGCTGAGGGAACATCCTCAGGAGGAGGGCAAGGAAACAGGGGACGCAACGTACCTGCTGGAAGCATCCATGTCCATGGATGTCATGCTGCTCTTTATCCTGACCACTACCGCAGCGTGATGCCTGACACGAAAGTGTGCGCCGGAGAAGCGTGAGTCGGGAGGCGTCTGTTTTATTATGCTGCGGGGGGTTGGGGGGTGGGAGGGAAATGGCAGAAAGGCAGAAAAAGCGATCGGGTAGCGAGAACCTCCTCGTGGAGGGACGCAAAAACAAAAACAAAAAAAGACGGAGAAAAATGAAACTCGCGGGGCAGAGCACGTGAGACATGGTGTATTACTCCGATTGCGAGAGGTTTGCCTAATGGGAAGCATTGTGATGAAAGTCTGACGGGCAGCGCTCATTCTGGGGGTCCTTGATGCTTCCTCTCGTACTATTTTCTAGGGAATGACCGTTCTTTCCTGACCATGAAGTATTGAATGCGGCCTTTTTGTCTTAAATTATTCTTGTATTTGGCTCCGAAAAATCGGCATCTGGCCGTAATGGTGTGCCACGACATTAGATGGGGGTCTTGAAAGGGAAAAATGCCATGAGGCCGCCGTGACATGATATTTCTGAGGTCAAAACTTAGCAAAACATTTTTGATGCGTTCATTGGCATGTAATCAGAAGTAAGTAGCGCATGTTTTATCTTTTACATAAATGTCCTCTGCATTACAGTTCCCCCACGACCGGTCAAAGTATGATATATGTGCAATAGAAGCGCGCTTTCCTGCATCTGTCTACCTTCGCAGTTAAGTTTTGGTACCCGTTGTGAAGAGCGAGTGACATAAACTTTTTGATAGCAAAGGATCCCAGCAATTGGCACAGAATCCCTCTTTAAATGAGGGTATGCTTTGTTTGAAATGTTTCCCGTGGAAGGTTTTCGACACGGCTTTTTGCCCATGGTGGATCATCCTGCCCGCCATCTTTTCGTGACACAGGACGGAAATAGTTCTTTCGAATTAAAGGGCACCCAACAAGGTGGACACAATCGTCGTCACTGTCGCTTAGTCAAAATTCCCTGTGGGTTCCCGAGTGTGTCGTCCAAGGAATCCAATTCCTGTGCACGGAGAGACAGGGGAAGAGAGAGAGAGAGAGAGGGGTGTATGCGAGAATGATGGAACTTGGTGCCTTGTCACGATCTGTCCGTGCCTTTCCAGATCCGCCTTCGTGGAAACTATCAATCTGATACTCAGGCGTCTCCGCCGGAGCATGTCTGCAGGGACAGACGGGGCATCACGTTCCCTTTTCCAATGCCATAACTCCTTTCCCTCCTCCTCTCCTCCTAGGCTTCGCCTTCTTGGCACCATGACAATCGCGGTCGCCATTTTTCGTTTCGGGCACACGTACCGATTCCGTCTCCTCGATCTCAGCGTCCAAGCGTTTGGCTTCGGAAAAAGCGCCTCGCGACTATCAAGAACGGGGTGCAGAAAGGGTTAAAGAAATGAATTGGCAGTTGTTAGGGTTGGGGTTAGTATTAATTGGCGCATGCTTAATGTCTTTTTCTCGTTACCTTCGCCCAGTCTCTGTGATAAATGCTGTCTTCCCGGCGCTGGTATGCCAGGGCATATGCTCTTTCCAAGTGCCGACGTTCTTCAAAGTGAGCGAGTACGCGAGAAAGCGAGAATGTGCCGAAGCAAATCCGTAGTACGAACAAGGTCGCGCAGATAATTGTGAGGAGCAATAGGGCACAAAGCTGTACGGTCGGGGTGAGGGGGTAGGAAGGGGGAGGGAGAGATCAAAATGCATGTAGTGACGACCAGATGATAGTTATAGCATCGGTTCAATAGAATATATATGCAATGGTCGAGCCGAGTTTCATGACACTTACCGTGAGGGATGATTCACTGTGGCTGACGGTGGCCAAAAAATGGGACGCCATGGGGACGAAGGCAACCGAAACCTAAGAGGAAGCGTGTCCAAAGGGCCTTTGCTTCGTCCTTACGCGCACAGGGTCTTGTATCAGCGCGCTTACCTATCTGCATCCACAGCGAGGTCGCTGTCGTGGGAATGCCCAGAAGGTTCGGGGCGTACGCAATCATTACTGAGGCGCTAAATGGAACACGACACACCCCCGCGGCGCCTTCAAGGCCTTCCGTGATTATTTCGTTGTAGCACCAACGATGGGGATGAAATCGAAAGTACGCATCTCTAACAACTGTAGGAGGCCCCAAAAACAATCGCCTTATTCAATCGAGATTTTTAATCAAAAGGCTGCGTATTCTTTGCAGGTACCGCATTACATGTCCACGGGACGTACACCATTTGAGCGAGGACGGTAGCCTCAGTCAGCGACTTGTTAAGCACCTGGACACTAAGGCTGTTTTTCACTTGCACAACGAGGAGGATTAAACGAGATCTGACCACCAGACCTTTTTCCTTTGCCTAGCGGCGTGTCCAGCAGCGGGATGTGCGGAGATTTTTTTCAGTTATCATCGTCCTCGATGGTGCGCGACCTGCGAAAACCTCCTCTATCCTTGTCTTCTTGGCAAGCAGCCCCCTCTTATGTACTATGTCCCTTCCACGCGACAGAACCTGTTTCCAGGAACTCAGAAAGTGCAGTTCAGGTAGCTAGACAAGGAACGTTCTGACTATAATGCTTTTCGTCGTATCTGGACATTTTCCTCGCGGTCATGCATGAGTCAAAGAGGGCCTCGCGAAAGAGAGCGCTGAACACACCCTTCATTAAAACCATGCAAGATTAGGGTGCACGATTGAACCGGGAATCCCTAATACGATTTGTCGAAGACGTGCATGAGATGTGAAGAAAGCGTGGTGTCACTTTACCCTCAGGAGGTCACTCTGCCCATTTCCCTTCGGCAGTACATCTCTCTGCCACGTTTCGCTTTTACGCGGTCATTTGCCTCAGGTGTGCTCTCAAAAATAGTGGAAATATAAGACTAGTAGATCTATGCTCATTTTACTCCTGGTTTTCGGGTCCACGTTTAGGTTTTTCGACTGGGAGGAGAAAAAACGTCTCTTCACTACCATTCCGGCCCACTGCTTGGGAAATGGGCCAGAAGAAAGCCTCCCGCCCTTTTCCCCTTCTCGAACGCCCCCTGTGCCACTGCCAATTCCTTGCCATCCTAGCATTACTCGCACCGGCGCGTGCGTTTCTACTCCGTCCCTGCTCGCAATGGTACCTGCCGACTTCCCACCCATCGTCAATTCGTTCTTCGCTTCGATCCTCTGCGCCTCCCACTCCACCTTCAGACAATGACGGCCCCGCACCCTCCCTCGAAAATGGACCCGCTTCTTCTCCTTCCCCTGTTCCTTCCTCTCCTCCTACCCCTCCTCCTCCCCCTCCCACGGCCAAGGAATATTTCTTCGGAACGGCCGGGGAGTTCGACGAGGATTTGGCCTACCTCGGCATTTCTCGGCAACGCCTCTTGTTGAACGCGGGCGTGGCCACCACGCTCGCCCTGGGTGCCAATTTCGTCGGGGTGACAAGCGCGTTGTTAAACACCTTCTCCACCCCGGAGACGATGTCGGATTGGAAACTGGACGTGCTCTACCCCGTGCGCGGGTTTAAACGCTTTGTCGATACCGAGGACGGTTATGAGTTCAGGTAACGGACACAGCCAAGATACATACCAAGGGAACAAGCGAGCGCCTGGCTAGGATGATGCGTGTCCGGATGATGCGTGTCCCAATGGTGGTCGTGGGCCCTGGCTGCCATCCTCGGTCATTCACAGCTCGTAGGGCCTAGGCGGGCAGGCTTCGCCTGCGTCTATCACCGTGTACCGACCTCTCTTTGCTTCCTCCGTCCCTGGCATTTCACAGGTACCCACAATCGTGGCTGTCCGACCAAGCGATCCTCCTGGCAGACACCCAAGCTCGCACTGCCACCTTGTCTTCGCCTTCCTCTCCCTCCGACCGCCCTCCGAGGGCCCCGCCCTCCTCGACCAGAGCGGTCCGACCGGATGCGGCGTTTGGTCCCCCCGGAGGAAACCGGGAGGAGAATCTCTCGGTGATTAAATCGGTCGTGATGCCGGGCTTTTCCTTGGCCGAGACGCTGGGACCCCCGACAGCAGCGGCAGAGTTGCTCCTTTCTACAGCCATCGCCCCCCCTGGTTCCGGAAAGGTCGCCAATTTGGTGATGGCGCAGGAAGAAACGCGAGATGGAGGGGGGAAGACGTTGGAAAGGAAGGTGTATGTCTTCGAGTACCTGGTTGGAAGGGAGGGAGGAAGGGATGGCGACCGGTCGCATAGTTTGAGTGTGATTGCCCCACGGGAGAAGGAAAGCGCGTTGTTCACCTTGACCGTGTTAGCACCCGAGAGACGGTGGGAGGATCGAGAAAAAGAGCTAAGGGAAGTGGCGTCCAGTTTTCGATTGACGCGATGAGAAGCTTTTTTGAACAAATTGTCAAATGCGCGTGGAAAGGACATATGGCGCTCTCTTCTTATTGGGTTTTGATTGGAACTTTCGTTTACGAAAAGTGCAGCAGCAGGCTATATATATCGATACAAAAGCGTACCAGCCTTCATTCACTAGTAAAAAAGCCTCCCGTGAGTCTCCCGTCTATATCCTTTGTCACATCATAGAAACTAGATCACCGGTAGCCCTGCAAGATTAGAAAGAAGATTGGGAGGGAGGATGGAGGGTCGAGGTGGAGAAAGCCAGGCAGGTCGGGCGTCTTTGATGACCTGTCCCAAAACTTATTATTGTCGTCGCATTGAAGTACGCCGTGTGAAAGTTACTCCTAGACGCCAATATTCTGCCTATTCTTTAACCGGGCTGGTTGCCACTTAGACCTCCCGTTTGCGGTCCGCATTTCTGGAGCTGAAGGAAATTTTTAACCCGCATGCTCCCTTGATTCCCTCCGATTTACACTATCAAGTCATCATCTTGAAGTGGATGTTCAACAATAACAGGCCTGATCCCACAAGTACAGTTTTGAGAGGATGTGCTTTTTGACGGTCAAGTGTTTGAATTGCCTTTTCCCCGCCAGGCCGGAACCATGGCGCTCTCGCCCATTACAGCTCTGGCACTATTATATCAGCTTTCTACCTTGATCATCGTAGCTATTAGAACCTTAAATACGAAAGACTTGATTCGCCACTTGCAGGATATGCCCGTCCTGGACGGGTATTTTTAGGGGCCTTCAGCGGATTGTGCATCACAGGTTATGCTTAGTCCTTAAGAAGTATTCCTGCAATTTGAGCAACAAGCCTGACGTTTTATAACAACCCATCGTTAAGGAATCTATTGCAAAAGTGAAGGAAAATGCGATATATCACTCCGAAAACGTGGGAGCAAATACAAAAAGGACAAGGGATTCAATTTTCTCGTGCATAAGCAAGGGGAGCGTAGATAAACACTTTGCACAACAGGCGTCGACGCAGGTGAGAGAGGTTCAGGTGCGAGAAATACAGGTCCGAGAAGCATCGAAAGCAATTGGAGTCGCCTTTGCAAGGATCTTATCGCAATCTTGTTTTTGACCTTTGAGTATCCATAAAAAATTCCGATACGTGAAGCCTCCCTCCGGTACCTCCTTTCCTCTATCTTCAGTCCTGAAGCGATACCAAGGAAAGGAAAGTTGTACAATTAAATTGATGTCTTCTGTCTGGAAAGAATCGTACAGTCATACGCTAGCGGCACCACTAAGACATAAGAAAATGGCCACAATCGAGTTTCAAGGGACCTTAGAAGAATCTTCAAGTTAAATAATCCCGGAGACCGGCTGTAGATGCAAAGTCGAAGAGGATTCCAAAAAAACCCTATTCGACGATCAGCACCGCCTTGAAAAAATCCTGACATGTCCGGCAAGTGTTCCTGGTCACTCTTTTTTCACGGGCAGTACGATTGAGAGGGAAGCACGAATACTGAAAGCGGTGCACGCAGCGGAGATTTATCCAGTATGAAGTCATCTGACTGGATACAGCCCGTGCTAGTGCATAGAACCTTTTATGAGAAATATAAATGCGTGTACCTACAATCGCGCCCAATGGTATACAGATCGGCCAAAGTGATGCATCCTTAAAGACAACGTGATAGACTTATGTGTCTTAGACAACGTGCGTGACTAATGCGTGCATTTCCCTTTACCTCACAACAAAAAGGGCAACGGAAGAATCGTCGCCTCCCGGCCCTTTTCCGAGTACCATGGCCTCAACACCACCACGAGGCAATAGTTTTGACCCTAAGGACAACCACTCCTCACGAATGCCGCCCTTGCGCAGTCTTTCTTTTGCGTCCTCCCTTGTTGGCTCCCTTCAGCCTCATGTAGAAGAAGGTTGTTCTTCTGCAAAAACTTCAGGAAGTCACAACAGTCCTTTATCTCCGCGTCCAGCACGACGTCCATCTGGACGTCCTCCATCTCTTTCGTCCTCGATTGACGATCTAGATCAGATAGATTTGGAAGTTCTCACATCCACGCTTTCCCCAACGGCCCATGCTCTTCCGCGCAACTCAACTCTTCGCATGAAGCGATTCGACAGTGCCTTGGCCACGCCCTATGGTCCCGAGCTACCCATGAACCTTGCAAGGGCCCCTTACTCGGACAGAATGAGCTACAACTACACCTTCATCCCCTCCATAGGGCAAACTTGGCGTAAACTCGCCCAAGAACTCAAATCGCGGTTGCACATTCCGTACCTCCCCTGGTGGGGTTTGAGAGGCCGGGACTACTTCGTTCATGAAGTGTGGCACGACGCCATGGCCGGCTTGACCTGCGCTTTGCTTGCAATTCCGGAGTCCCTCTCCTACATGATCTTGGCCTCCCTCGCCCCCGTGGTAGGTCTTCACACTGCGGCCATTCCCCCCTTTGCCTACGCTTTACTGGGTACGAGCCCCCACACGTCCGTGGGACCTATCTCCCTGGTGTCGCTCTACCTCCCATCTGTCTTCGTGGCCCTGGGCTTGAAAATCGACGATTACTCGGCAGCGGCACACAAAGCGCGGCAAGAAGCGGGCTCGGTGGTGGCGATTTATGTGTGTTGTTTGTTTGGGGTCATGTCTCTTTTGCGGCTGGGGGGGCTGATCCGCTTTCTCTCCCACACGGTCATGACGGGGTTCATCTGTGCCTCGGGCGTGTACGTCTCCATCAAAGGTGAGGACGGGCAGGGAGAAAGAATGGAACAGAGGATAGGAAGAGAGGCGACGAGGGGAAGGAGCAGTAAAGGGCAGAAAATCCTAGCCGTTCGAGAACATCAGGCCGGTCCAACCTAGTTGACCTGTGTTCCTTTGTCTCTTTCGCCCTTCTTGTAGAGCTTCGGCATATCCTGCACGTGCCCCCGCCCAAGGAGGCCTTCCAATACAACTACCAGGTCCTGGTCTGGATCGTCCGAAGCTTCCCCCGGGCAGATCCACGGACCTTGGCCTTGGGTGGCGTGTCACTTTTAAGCCTATTGACGATCAAATTCCTCAAACGCCGATTTCCTGCCACGCCCGAACGCCTGCGTTCGCGGGCCTTCAATTGCTGGTACTACTTGTCCTCCTTCTCGACCCCTATCGTCATCTTCATCGGGACCTTGATCTCCAAATCCTTGGCCGAGCACGGGCAAGCCGTTCCAGTCTTGGGCAGTTTCCCGTCAGGCCTTGTCATTCCCTCTTTTCCCCCGGTGGCCCGTTTCCCCCCCAGCGATTTGATCAAACAAGCCTTGCCCATCGCACTCCTGGCCTACGTGGAAGCCGTCTCCATCGCCAAGAGATATTCCGCCCTGTTTGGCTACAAATTGGACTTGAACCAGGACATGGCTAGTTATTCCCTTGCCAACCTTTTGTCGGCTTTGTGGGGAGGCGTGACGCCCTCGGGGTCCTTTGCCCGAACGGCCTTGCAGGCCGAAGTGGGTTCCCGGTCCAGTTGGGCCAATATCTTCACGGGGACCTTCGTGATTGTTTGCTTGTACCAAACGCACATATTGCACGACGTGCCATATTGCGTGTTGGGTGCGCTGGTCGTCTCCGCCATGGTGAACCTGATCAATTTCCGGGAATTTTACCATGCCCTGCGGATCGCACGCATGTCGGGCCTGGTCATGGTCTTCACATTTCTCGTGACGCTGTTGTGGAGCGTCGAGCACGGCTTGTTCTACGGCATTGTCGCCTCGCTGGCTTTGCTCCTGAGTCAGCTGTCGGACGTGGTGAGAAGAGGCAGACTGGGATGGAAAGAGGGTCGATGGCCGGACGGAAAGAAGGGGTAGAGGGTTCGGGTTCAGTGGGTGTCTTTCTCATTCATATGCCCTCTCTCACGTCTTTAGTGGTTGTGTTTCTCGTTCATATGCTACCCTCGCTTATCTGTCGCCCCCTGTCTCCGGGTATCATCAGGACGCAGTCATCCTGGGCGAAGAACCCCCTCGGGTGGACGCCAGCGGGAAGCGCGTCGCCGCCCACTACCCGCACTTGGTCTCCCTCCGAGACAACCCCCGGGCCCTGCCCTGCAATGGGGGCCATGGCATTATCGTCCTCCGTCCCGTGGCCAGTCTTTTTTTTGGGAACGCCGAGCTTTTGGTGTCGATGATGGAGAAGCTTCTGGAAAACGAAAAGGGCGATGCCCGGAGCCGCGTCGCGGGGACGCCCCCCGCCACGGCCGAAGCGCTGGAACAAGAATCTCCGAGTCAAGGGCCCTCCCGAGAAGAAGATACGTGCATCCCCAAACCCCAGCATCAGTCCCAAGACGAACTCGAAGCTCAAACCAAAAGCAATGGCACCACGGGCGGTGCGCCTCCCGCCTTGGTACCCGGTACGTCGTGAGAGCAAGTGAGGGAGGATACCATTCCCATCAGAAGAGAATTTCCTTTCCTATCGTCCCGTTCCAGAGCTACATCGTTGTGTGGGCATTCTTCCTCTGCGCACGTCGCACTTGCCACCTGTACGACGG